ATATCTGAAATTTTAGCATCACTTTACATCCTGTTTTCTTCTGTGTGGAAAAAAAGAAAACAAAGAGAAAAACTCTGTTTCCCAGTGTACACTGCTGCTGCTGCTGCTCGGTGGTCGTTTCCATCATAACCCCTCCTCAGAAAAAAAAGCTAAACTTTGACTGATAGACAACATTGAACCTTCATAAACCTGCATTCACACCTCAGGAGCAGCTCAGGCTTCAGCACCACCAACCTTCCAATCACAGGCCCTGCTCCATCTCCTGAGCCACACACAGGTGTGCACATCCACCCAACCCCACCACAAAAACCAGACTCCTGTGCTAACTGAAGGCCTGGACTGACTCACCAGTCTCTGTAGGATCCTCTTGCTCTTGTCGTCGGTGCAGAAGTCAGACAGGATGGTCCTGTGGACCAGAACCAGGCCGTTCAGGAACAACCAGGACCCGAACCAGAGCAGAGCGAAGACCAGTGTCCCCCGACGAGACCACAGCCTGAGGCCCAGCCACCGGAGCAGGCACAGGCCGCCGCCGCCACGACCCCCTCCGCCGGACCCCAGCCCTCCTGGGAGCATGGCGGTGGATGCTGCAGGGCGCCGTCAGTCAGAAACGATCCTCAAAGCGTCCTCTGAATATTCAGCTAGGAACAGATTCTGAAACATCCGAATGTTTCGTAATGTTGAATGTTCCCTTTAAAAGTTCAGCTCGTCTCTCGTAAGCGAGACAAACTCTGTGTCACTGCCATGTTCCAGTCTGAAAACAAGAAGCAGGTGTTCGCCGGCCTCCTTTCAGAGCGATGCTCTTCTGTGATGTCAGGTCCAGAGCGTCGCTGGACACTCAGTGACCCACCAGTTTGTCCTGAAAGAGCCTGAAAACGACACGACAGTCTGTGCTCATCACAGACACACAGCCCAGCTCTGCAGGAACGATCTGAAGCTTTGTTTGTGCTCGATGCCGTTGTGTTGTTTCATATCCAACCTGCTGATTTATTTTCCACTCACAGAGTCAGCGAGAGAAATCCGAGGAGTCGCCTTCGAGCTGCGTGACACGGGCGTCCGAGCTCGTCTGCAGCGCCGTGTGGCATCTGCACGCACACTCGCTCAGCCCCACAGATCTGCGTCTCCACTGTCCTCGCGTCACCTCCTCGTGGCGTCGGCAGCTCTTGTGGTCGTCTCGCTGTCGAGCTGAAAAATGACCCTGAAAAACATTCAGAGAGAAAAAAGTTGAACAGACTGCAGCTCTGGATTCTGGAGACGAGGATTTAATGAGAGGAAAAACAGAAAGTGAATTCATACAAAGAAACAACAGTGAGGAAGACCCTGATGAAGATGTGAGAGGACGGATTTGAATCTAAAGAAAGGACGGCAGGCGGCATTCAAGTTCCCAGAATCAAACATTTGATTTCAGGAGCTTGTCATGTTTTAAATCACGAGTTTTTAAAAAGCCATTTCTCCAGAAACGGTGACATCTCCAGAACGTTTAAAAGGAAGCTTCTCTTTCCCCACCGAAGAGCGCAGATGTTTCTGTAGACGAAGCTCACGAACGCGTCTTCTTCATCTGCTTGAGGAAGCCTGGGAGCTGCTCGCCTGGGTTCATGTGCTTCCTGCTCAGTGACAGAGCAGCGCCTTCGTTTGTAAACGCTGCAGAAATGTTGCAGAGACTCATTAAAGCTTGTGGCTGCGGTCGCTCTCTCTGAAGCATCCGGGGCATGAAGAAACCCGACAGCCGCAGCAGAAACACAAACATGTTTGAGAGTCAGGCGGTCAGCAGAGCTCGCTGGGATCAGAAGTCCAGATGATGAGCACCATCCAGGTGTTGTTGATGGGAGGCTGGGTGGAGGAGAGGACGCTGCTGCAGACGGAGCAGCTGATACCTGCTCCTCTCCACTGGCGGGTGGATGTTCGAGTTCTCGGAGTTTGGTTTTGAACATTGATGTACTTCGAGCCACTTTTCTGAATTAAAGCAGACGGCAGCGTCTCTGAAATAAACCGACCCTGCCAGAGCGTAAACACCTCCATAAATCATGAAGCGCTTTAATGATGCTGCGTACTTGGTGGGAAACAAACGACAGCAGTTCTCAGCAGAGATTTTACAGCTCGGCAGGGGCGGATCTGCTCTGAGATGCAACGTCCTCCTCAGAGGGGCCGCCATCATTTTTTACCAGCAAATATTTTACTGACACTTGACTTCACTGCGTTAGCACGGATTTCACACGCTACACGAACAGCTTGTGTCTGTATGTTTGCAAAGGACTCCGACTGTGGACAAATGAAACGCTCCGACGACGACAGCTTTACGGCACACACAGAATTCCCAACGGCGGTGACAAACGACAGCATCCTCTGGCAGTCACTCGACTGTGGGGAGGAAGAACTCCATTTTAACAGGAAGAGACATCTGGCCGAGCAACATCTGCAATAACTGGTTAAAGGGAGACAGGAAATGGGGCTGGGGGTGTGAAGAGTGCTTAGTGCATCATGGGAAGTCCCACAGCAGGCTGACGTCATTAGCCAAACAATGCACTGTTTGTCCATCACTGTGGAAACAGATGAAGACAAAACTAACCAGCAGCTTGTTTCTGGTTGAGAGGCCGACGACAGCCACAAAGGATTTCTGTGGCTTGTTTAAATTAAATAAAAGAAGATTTGAAGCTTTGAATGATAAAAAGCTTTCAGGACCACAGAAGGACGCAGAGACACATAACGAGCAGAAAGCAGCGTGACTGAGGAGGATTCAGATCGCCAGGAACAACCAGCGAGCCTGCAGCGCTCTGATAGGCTGATACGGTACCGTGAGGCCATTAAGATGAGAGGCCTGATTATTGTTAATCGTTTTTTCTTGGATGTATTTGAGACACAGAGTCTGAAAAGCTTAAACAAAGGCTGGTGGTGACACCAGTACCTGATTGATATTCAAAGGAAATCCAAGGAAGCTGGAAGAAGTTGCATCGCTAGAACTGTTCACCAAGCATGAAGTTCATTTTGATGCGAGGAGCAGAGCACAGCCATTCATTACTCTGGAGGCGGCCGATACATCACAGTGTGGATCAAGTTTATAACTGAGCAACACATTTAAGCTGAAATCTTCCTTTTTCTTCAGCAGTGATGACTGATACAAACAACAGACTCATTAAGAAATCAATTCTGCTTCGGCTGGACGTGCCTGGAGCTCGCAGCAGGTCTGCATCCATCGATGCAACAGGTGCTGAAGCTCTGCTGCCCTGCAGACCATCGTCACTCACAGAGCGCCTGCTGGAGCTTCTCCCACAAACGTGTTTGAGCAGCAGCTGTTCGAGCGTCGCTGCACTTCTCACGATGATACCAGTGCGTTTGCGTTCCTGTTGTTCTCACTGAAACACTAAAGCGCAGCTCCAGGTCTGACTGTGACAGAGCATAAACAGCACTTTTACTGGGCGTGTCTGAAGTCTGAAATGATGCAGTGACCTTGATTTACACTGAAAGAGAAATAAACAGAGACGATATGAAATCTTGCCGCTCACCGTTAAACTGTTGTGTCGACGCTCAGGAAGCTCTGCAGCCGGCTGCCATGACAAAAGCCTCCAGCCAGGCTCAACTCGTGAAAGCTTTTCTTCCAGATGATTAAACCTTTGCACAAACGTGCACACTGGCACTTCTTCTGCTCTTTTTTTCCTCCGCTGGTGTTTCTTCTCGCCCCCTCAGGTGATGATGATTTTCCCTGTCTTCTTATTTTAAAGACTGAAATAATCCCAAAGTTTTCCTCTGAGCTGATGAGACTCCAAAATGTGCAGCAGCTGCTGAAACGATCCACCCAGCAGACCTGAGGTCTGCAGCTCCTCCACTCTTCTCTGTTTCAGCAGAAACTCTCGGCTGTGTCTCTGAGAGCAGCAGGAGGTGCAGGTTTCTGCTGCACCTGGGGACGAGGGGGTCTGTGAGCCCTGACTCCGGTCTGACAGGCAGCCGCCGCTCCGGCACTCCTCCGCTGTTCCAGAGCCGCTGGTTTCTCCTCAGAGTGCTGCCTCCTCCTGCTCCTCCTCGCTCTCTCAGTGTGCCGCGAGAGAGAGAGAGAGAGAGAGAGAGAGAGAGAGAGAGAGAGAGATTGTGTGTGAGTGTGTCTGTGTGTGTTGTGTGTGTGTGTGTGTGTGTGTGTGTGTGTGGTCTGGCTGTGTGTTCGTTCAGCCTCGGTCCCTTCCTTCCTCCCTTCAGTCTGCTTCCTCTCTTTATCCCTCAGCTGTGTTTGCTCATGTTGTGGGACAAAAAAGTCCGATGAAGCTTTAAAGCAGCTCCTCCTCCTCACCCCCCCCCTTCTCTTAAATACTCTTATACTCCCCCTCCCTCTCTTCTGCAGCTCTACCGAGGCTCGCCAAATTAAAAGCTCTCCCCCCATTTATCTCCCTCTCCTTTTCTGTCCCGGCCTCCCTCCCTCTGCTGGGGGCGCAGCTCAGAGCCTCGTGGCGTGTTCGTAATCGCCTCATTTGTAAAAAAGCCAATAAAGTTGTGCAAACATAAGAAGCAGCTCGATGCTCTGTTTGACGCCTCGGGGTCCAAAATTAAAGGTGCATTTAGTTATTTGTGGCCACTAGAGGGCAGAAAAGCCCAAACATGCTGATGGATAAACGGGTCTAATAATTACAGGTGTTGGTTTTTATTATCTTTATTCAAATTCCCTCTGACATGTGTGAAAATGCAGATATGTCAAAATACAACGTGAAACAGAAGAGAGACTTCACACAGCTTTGAGCTGCATTCAAATTCAAATTTTATTTGTCACGTACACAGTCATACACAGTACGATATGCAGTGAAATGCTTGGACAACTGCTCGTGACCTAAAGAAAAAAAGGAAAAGGCTATGAATAAGATAGGAAATAAATATGAAAAATTAAAAAGGGTAAATTTAACTAGGAAGGAATAAAATATAAATTAAGGTTGAAAATAAAATAACTGTACAACAAAATACACAATATAGAACTATATAAGAATGTATGAAGAAATTAAATAAATATATACACAATAACAGCAGCTGTACAAGTATTAACTGGAAATGAAGAATATAGTGACCAGTGTTGTGCAATCACTCTTTACGCCCAGCGTTTGCTCCTCACAGAACTTAGTTTGAGTTCTTTGCATGTTTCTGTGATTTATTGAAGGATAATCGATGTTTAAAGACAGCTCAGAAAAAACGTTCAAAATTCAGCTGAGACGTGGTGACCTTTCTTCTTTAGAACGTCTGCAGGTCTGTGCATGCTGAACATCAGCCTCTGAGCCAACCGCTGACTGATGGGGATGCCACAGCTCCACGCTGATCACAGGTTTCAGCTTTTTAAGCACTGACCACACCACAAACATCCTCGATGACCAGCCTCTCCCACAGATCCAGGAGCGTTCTGGAGTCTGTGCATTTTCCAGCCTGATGGAGCGCCGCGTCTCGAGGCTAAACTCAACACTAAGCGGCTCTGAGATCAGAAAATTAACGATTTGTATCCGAGGCCAGGAAACTCCCCGGTCTGTAATCCCATTGAGAATCTGTGCTCAGTCCTTAAAAGGTGATTAGAAAAGTCTGCAAACTAATCATCTGGGTTTTCTGATGAAGCAGGAGTGGATCCAGCAAACCAAAAGGTGTGTGGCCGCGACCGTGGGAGTCTGCCGGAGCGCTGCTGGTGTTCAGAGGCCAGAACTATCTGTTATAAACTTAACAGAGCTGCAGCAGACTCAGCATCATCCCTGTGACTGGTTATCAAACTCTCACCTGCACCATAAGGAGCTGGTGACAGAGCTGACGTAGAAGTTAAATAGTCTTTTTATTCCATTTACACTTATTCATATTTTCCAGGTTCACTTCCTGCCCCGCTCAGAGCAAAGCGAGCGTCACTAACAGCAGGAGATCAGAAAGCATTAAAGGGGAGGTGGGTGGAGGTGGACGTGGTTGCAGAGCAGCAGCACCTGTATACAGGCTGAAGAAGGTTAAATAATCTGAGATTAGCAAACCTGAAACACACAATAAAGAAAGCTGAGCTGCTGTAAGACGGCACCGAGAGGCTCCGGTGATTTATGTTTCATATTTTTATAAAGCACAACCACCACTAACTGAGCTGTCCCTCTGAGTCCATCAGAGGGACAGCTCAGAGTCAGACAGGCTGAGATGGAGGAGGGAGGATGGTGAAGATGGAGCTGCCAGGCAGGAGGAAACATCTGACATCATCTCCTAGAAATGCTGTCAAACCTAAACGACGAACTGTTCTCAGCGAGTGACAAAGTAAATCTGTGATGTTTGTGTTGTTGCTCCTTTAACTGAACCATCATATATCTCCTGAACTGAGTTTGCAAACTAACCTGAAGTGTTACTGAGATCTTCATCATTCCTTTAAATAATCTGAATCTGAATGTGAGGAAGATCTGAGCTATTTAAACCAGGTGACACATTACATCAGGTAAATCCTCCAATCAGGACACAGAAAGCGTTCTGATATCAGACTGAATGATCGGCTCACTGCAGTCTGACTCAGAGGGGAGGCTTAAATGGGTCCTAGCAGTGTAAACTCACTACACTTCTATCAGAAACTGATGCTGAAAGCTGAAAATTGGTGCCAGGTGTGGAAAGTGCAGCTCGTCACGCTCAGAGGAAATCTGGCAAAACAAAAACTAAACTTTGTCCCAACTAAACCTGCAGGAGAAGCCCAGCAGAGCTCCGCGTCGCTCTAATTGCCAATTAGACCTGCAGGCTGTGCAGCCTCTGGCACTCCATCTCAGCTGAGCCTCCTTAATAACTGCAGCAATTACCCGAGGCCTGCTCATTAGGCCCAGCTTCTTAACTCACAGGTACGTCCTCAAAAAGTTCATGTCTCAGCACATTTTAACCTTCAGGTTCAGGTTTTGTTTTGCAGGAGAGAAGAAAAAGAGAAAGTACCCACGCTGTTTAAACCAGGAGGGACGTGGAATAATCTGCCTCACCTCCTGCAGCCGCCCTTCAAACGCTCCCTGAATGCATCACTGAGATCATCTCCGTCTACACCTTGGACAGGTCGCCTGCTGATTACTGGAGATACAGATGTTGTGTTGCAGCACCTCCTATTGGTCAGATACGACAGTCACAGGGAGTCTGCGTCCATGTTCAGAACGATTCTCCCAGTTCACCTAAAAATATCATCAAAGAGCTCGAAACCTTTCCCTGTGTGAGAGTGTCAGAATTAAAATGCTGTTTAATAATAAATAAACCTGTGATAAGTCTGAACGCGGTGATTCCCCCAGTGCTGGGTCACCTGAGCAGCAGCTTGTTCCTCAGGTGTGATTGGATGCTCTTCTGGAGAGGAGGAGGATCCTGCAGATGGACCTGAAATCTGCTCCACTGTAACGTCTGTTATAACCAGGCTAAACTTTAACCTGAAATGGTTGAAAGCACCTGAAATATCTAAAAATCTCTTACATTCATTTACCTTCTGCGGGCAGTAACAGAGGAAACCGCTCAGCTTTTATAGATGAAGAAACCGCCGTCACTCTTATTTATTAGATCCCTCTGCTGGTGAAGGTCAGACTCATCACTGCTGCCAAACACCTGCACTGTTATTGGACCGGAGACGTCCTGTGACCACGTTTAAAGTTTCCACGTTAAACAAATAGAAAGAAAAAACTAAAGTGTTGGATTTCAGCTGCAGCAGCAGAAATATTCCACACGATCAAAGACCCACAAACAACACGTCACGTTTACATTTACTCTCATTATAAACAAACACAGATGCAAAGGCACGTCTCTAAAAATGTTCATGACAGAAATCAAAGTCCGCGGAGGTGCGAGGAGCTCCTCCCCCTCACGGACAGGCACAGGTAGGTGGAGGAGGGCGGTCCCCACAGTCTCCTGGGTGATGTCATGATATGAATAATTGAGCAGAGCCAGGCTCAGTGCAAAACTGCTCACGGATGATCTGAGGACTCAGCACGCTGATGTTTCAGGTGACGCGCCGACTCTGCTGAAACCCAGTGCAGACAAAGAGCCGCAGATCCACAGACACGAAGCCTCTTTGTGCCCGAGCGCACACGGGCGCGGCGGCTCTGCGAGCACAAACAGAAGTGCTGGGAAATCAAGTCTGGCACACAGAGCGCCGGCCCCGGAGATTAAGCGGCTCATCGGTGTTTGTCTGCACGGCGAGGCCCGCTCAGGTCCTGAAACAGCGACGCGCACAGTTTTGGAAACAACAGCTGAGCGAACCATTGCTGATGCATTACAAGTCACACACTTTAAAACAGGCACCGGCGCCGTTCTGCACTTCTTAAATCGACAAATGTTCATATTTTTATGTAGAAATGTGTAAAATGTCATTTTTTGGAGAAAAGATAAACTCTGAACGCTTCACTTCCCCCTGGGCCTGTTCAGGTTCAGCGCTGCTGCTGGATCCAGGACCTTCAGCAGAGAAGCCAACAGTGACGGGATTTGGGAGTCTTCGTTCTCGTTTAGCCACCACTAGTGAGCCCACGAAGGGCTCACTAGTGGTTCCTGACTGTTTATTTTGTGCACCCACTGAAACTATTAGAATTTAAAAATACGCTCATGTAAAGTGTTAAAAATAAGTCGTGTAAAATGGTGATTTGGTGCTTTATAAATATTTCAAACAGGACAAAATGCTGATTTTACAGCAGCAACATTATTGTATCTCTGAAGTTTAAACATTTAATAAACTTTGTGTCTGCACAGAGTGGATCAAACAAATTGAATCATCATAAATACTTCATTTTATATTGATTACTTTACTATTATAGCACCAGGAATACATGACAGGGGGAGTATTCTGATGCAAACTCGTGGCTGTAGTATAAACAGTATTCTGGAGATGGTACAAAACGATTACTCATAATATAACATTGTGCTTTAAGGACACGAGGAGGAAACAGGAGCTGTGTGAGGCTGGATTAAAAAGAGCGCAGGCCTCAGTGACACAGGTTGTGGCGTTGCAGAGGTGTTCAAGGATAACAACAACACAGCTGCAATGTTCTAACATTTTTCTCTTATAACTTTATTATGGATTAGGTGCAAGAGTGTTTAAGTGTGGATGATTAAATAATACTTTAACGCAATAGTAAACTGCGCCTTGTTCTCAGACGGACAGCAAGTGGAGAGTGACAGATGAGATGAGGAGACGAAGGAGGAAGAGAGGCACAGAGTGAGTCGCAGAGTGAGGCACAGAGTGAGGCACAGAGTGAGCCACAGAGTGAGTCGCAGAGAGCACAGGAGTGAGTCGCAGAGTGAGGATGAGGACAGAGTGAGGCACAGAGTGAGGCACAGAGTGAGGCACAGAGTGAGGCCCAGTTTATTTCCTACAGTTTTTGGTTTTTAAAATTGGTGAAACCACAAGGCAACAAATCTTTGCATTTTATTATTTTTCAATCAGCTCCTATTTTAATGTCTGCAGTCTCAGATCAGCACAGCCCCGCCCTGCAGCACCATCATCAGCAGCAGCAGCAACGTTGTACCCATCAGGTGAAACACAGGCTCCGCCCACACTCGCCCGGATACATATGAAAACGGCGCTTTCGTCTGAAAACGCTCCGCGTCCACACTGGTGTTTTCAGTCGTTTTCACAGAGATGTGCGTCCACATTGAAACGACCGAAACCTTACATTCCACTACTGCGCATGCGTGAAACACAAGAAGATTCGGCCTGCCTCATTTCTCTCTGCCGCTTATTTACTTTCCGCCTCTTTAAAAAGCACCGAGTTTTTAAACGGACTCACAATGAGGTGGAGTTGCTGCTGCGAGTAACACAAAAGTACAAAGTTGCAAAAGTGAGTGAGAGTTAAAGAATTTGAGGAAAAGCTCTCTGGAGCATGTACAGACTGATATTAATCTTTAATAAGGCTGTCAAACACCTGCTGTATAACGCCCTCCACTATCTTAGTTTCATTGGTCACATGACTGCATCACATGACTGACATGCGTCAACGTTTTAGAAAGTCTGCGTTTTCGCTGCGACTCATGGAAACATCATGGAAAACTGGGCACATCCTTGCCTGCGATTTATTCATCAAGAGACTTTTATGTCCGCATTTGTTTTCAGTTGTTGTTTCTCTGGGTTTAGTTTGAGCCTCAGCAGAAGAAACCACTGTGAACCTTTAGCCAATGATCAGATGAAAAGATTGAGCGCGGTGGTGCTCTCTGGAGTTTAAGACCAACACTGAAGTCAACAGTGAACTGGCATTAGACTGGATTCAGAAGAAATACTGCTGAAGCTGAATGATTGTGTCCTGCTGAATTCAGCAGACTGTGTTTATATTTTCTTTGTCACCAGGTCTGTAAAGTTCAGTATGACTGTGGCACATGATACAAAACATAAATACAGAAGAATAAAAACTTTATGTGAATAATTTTACTCTTCTTAAATATAACTCAGAAAACAAGTAAAAGTACAAATGTGTACTTAGAGACGTCCTCAGTAAGTTTACACTCTTTTGGAGTGATTTTAATTGTGTGTTAAAGAGAAAGAGATTAGGAGGTAAAGCAGAGGATGCAGAGTCCATCATCACTGAGGCGTCTCTCCTGCATGAAGTCCAGGTGCTGGTTTTCCAGTGTGTGCGTCTGATGCCCCAAAGCTGCCTCAGAGCCGTGACAGCATCCATGGCTGCAGCATGGAACAGATGTGGGTGTGGCCTCATCTCCCAGAGGAGTCCACATCGTCATCAAACAGCCCTACAGACACAAAAACGTGAACATATGAACAACCAGACTATCAGCAGTGATTTAACTACTTTAAGACCTCTGTGAAAATCATTTACAGTATCACAGAATTTAAGGCCTTTATAATCACAGCGCACAGAGAAAAGTACTGAGCTGAATCAACTTCAGCTTTTGTTTCTCATGATGTATGTTGTATTAATAATTAAACTTCATTATCTGTGTCTTTACCACACAGGTGTAGATACTGTGGGTGCAGTGAATGCTTACATTGCACTGATTAGAATATGCTGGACATTCAAAGCTAAGAGTCAGCGCACTGTGTTAGAGGCTGGGATTGGATGAATTCATCATATATACAACCTTTGATCATCGTTTATGTCCAGTTGAATGAATCAGTGCACTCACATATTAAATGAACTGAAACCAGCAGTGTGATCTCCAGTCTTGATATAAGGAATCAGAGAACTGACAGCTGTTATTTTAGTCAGCCTGTCTCAGTTGTTTTAACTCTAAGTACCATAGAGTAATGTGGTAACATCTGGACTGACGGGTTTACTGTCAGCATTTTAATCGCTAGTTTAAAGGCTGTAGGCTGCAGCCGTTGCTCTATCACTGTATGAATGTAACAGGCCTCAGTGCTGGTTCTAACAGTCTGAGCTGCTTCCAGCTTTATTTGTGAAGAGCACAGCAGCTCACACAACACGCAGCGAGCTCGTACAGCTGCGACGTAAAACTTTCATGAACTAAGATGAGCTTAAAATAACGGGGCTACGTGCGGTGATGCTAGCGTTAGCCACGTTACCTTCACAGGTGGTCAGGCTGAGTCCCCAGGTGCACACTGGGAGGTCCAGCTCTACGTTTCACTGCACCTTCATTCTTCACATGTCGCGTGGAGCCCAGTGTAAATCCCGGGGCTGAACGGCCTTTGTACAAACACAATGAGTGGACTCGCCCTTTTAAGTGCCAGAAACCATTTAACTCGTTTCTCTTTTCGTGTTTTAACAAACATCTGCTTTTAATATTTTAATATGTAATTCAAAAACTGTGTTTGAGACGAGGTTTTCAATGTTTAATTCTTCTGTGAAATTCATTTTCAATTTGAAGTATTTATTAATGGATTAATAATTCATTTTAAAAATATATTTAAAAATAATGTTTTTATTTAAAATAAAATTATTAAATAAGAAATTACTTTAGTAATGTTGGAATAAATAATGTAAAAATGAATTCATGAATGAATTTACAAATGCAGAATTTATTGTACAATTCATTATTTAAGCACAGATTTCTTTATTTCGATACGTGTGGCTCTTGTGGTCCTCCATACTCTTACTCGTTGATCTCATCCTCCTCGTCCTCAAAGTTCTCCTCGCCGTCGTTGGCGGTGGCTTCCTGGTACTGCTGGTACTCGGACACCAGGTCGTTCATGTTGCTTTCCGCCTCCGTGAACTCCATCTCGTCCATGCCCTCGCCGGTGAACCAGTGCAGAAATGCCTTTCGGCGGAACATGGCCGAGAACTGCTCAGAGATCCGCTTGAACAGCTCCTGGATGGCGGTGCTGTTGCCGATGAAGGTGGCGGCCATCTTGAGCCCTCGGGGAGCGATGTCGCAGACAGCCACCTTCACGTTGTTGGGGATCCACTCCACGAAGTAGCTGCTGTTCTTGTTCTGGATATTCAGCATCTGCTCGTCCACCTCCTTCATGGACATGGGCCCCCGGAAGACGGTGGCCACGGTCAGATAGCGTCCGTGGCGAGGGTCGCAAGCCGCCATCATGTTCCTGGCGTCAAACATCTGCTGGGTGAGCTCGGGAACAGTGAGCGCTCGATACTGCTGGCTGCCCCGCGCTGTCAGAGGAGCAAACCCCGGCATGAAGAAGTGCAGCCTGGGGAAAGGAACCATGTTCACGGCCAGCTTGCGGAGATCTGCGTTGAGCTGTCCGGGGAAACGGAGCGAGGTCGTCACGCCGCTCATGGTGGCCGACACCAGGTGGTTGAGGTCGCCGTAGGTGGGGGTGGTGAGTTTAAGAGTGCGGAAGCAGATGTCGTAAAGGGCCTCGTTGTCGATGCAGTAGGTCTCATCTGTGTTTTCTACCAGCTGGTGCACCGACAGGGTGGCGTTGTAAGGCTCCACCACTGTGTCCGACACCTGACGGACCAAAGACAGACGGGACGTGAGAAGAGGCGAGTCGGTATTTATGTTTATTAAGCATCCGAACAAACACGTTGGGAAATGTGGGACAGACGGACAAAATTTCCTCCTCCTACCTTCGGTGAGGGCATGACGCTGAAGGTGTTCATGATCCGGTCGGGGTACTCCTCCCGGATCTTGCTGATCAGCAGGGTGCCCATCCCCGAGCCAGTGCCCCCTCCCAGAGAGTGAGTCAGCTGGAAGCCCTGCAAGAGAAGTTTCATCTTACAGTAAACGGTGAGGAGACAGACAAGGTGCAAGGATGGAGCTCAGTGTCATGAACAAACATGCTGTTCACAGTTTATCCTGAAGGCACCATCACTAGAAAACTGACATTCTTGAACAACCCCAGAAGTCAGTCCACGTTACCAAAATTTCACTAATGAGACAACGGATGGTGTCCTGGGGGGCGTCCTCGCAGATCAGGGCATCGCTGAACTCCTGCACAGTCTGAGGTGTGACCCGGCAGCGTCGCAAGGACCGAAACATAACGTCCCAAAGGTCTATACATCATATTTATGATGAAGAACTGAGACTGGATAAAATATTTCCAACATCATACAACATGAGTCCAAATAGATTTGTTAGCATGTAGCGCTAACGTGAACTAAATTCAGCTGAAATTTGAGTCCAAATCATAAACGTGAATCTGCCAGTGAGGAAAAACACAGTCTCGAGAAAACTTTAATGATCCTGCATCTTGTTGTTCAATGAATCGTAAAAACTAAAGCAGGAACGCTGAGGAAGAAAAGGTTTAGCTCCACCCACTGAGGTTAAACTCAGCCAATAAGGCTGCGTCGGTCACATAAAGATGACTCACCTGGAGACAGTCGC